GTTTTGAAGAAAAATGAATTTTACAAAATGGGAGCCGATCTAAATACTCCTAAAAGTCCTCTAAGTAGTTTGAGTTTTAGTAAATGGTGCTGCGGAGATTATTCTCTGCAGTGACGAGGCAAGTGGCAATGAATCATCGCAGGTCCTCGTGTTCTTCCAGCCACACTGATCAAAACTGATGGTGTTACTCTCTTTTCCTATGTCAACACAAGCAAGAGTTGATAGTATAATTAAGATAAGTTTAGCTCCTTTCATCTTATTAAAATAATATCTAATATTTCCTACAAATAAGTTATAAAAGTATTTCCATTTGAGATACGAACACTGTTCTGGTATGATCATACACTTATATCTTACTAATATTTGTAGGGATCCATAACATGAAGCCTGCTCCATTTTATGGCTTCTTTTTCTTCACAGGGATCAAATACTATTGATCCCTAAAGCCTTAAGGTTTTGTAACTTGACTTTATCTTCATTATCGGATGGACTGGACCGTACTTGACTAAAATCTTGTTTCTTGTATTGTTTTAAAATTTTAATTGTTGAACTATTTTGTCTCCAGCTTGATGTTACTACTCTGGGAGTAAATATCGTTGCTGCCTACTCTGAAGCAACAACCTGTTGCGAATTTACTTAACATGCACAACGAAACTAAAAAAAAAATTCACATCAAGGATTTGCTTTACGTTTAGAAAGAAAATGTGATAAGAATTATACCTTTAATTATTAAGAAAATAAAAGGGTAGATCCTGTTGTAAATGACAGGGAAGAAGAAGAAAATATCATTCATTCAACTTGAGAAATTACAATGCATACTAGTTTATTTATAGAGAAAAATAGCTAACTAATCTATCAACTAATCACTACATGGAAGTCTCTAGAATTGAAGAGCTGGACTAAATTCTAACAACCAATAACTAATAACAAACTAAAGAAGAAACTAGAAGGAGCTAGAATAAGGAGTGATGCAAGCTAAGGCATGAAGAACGTGAGCTAGCTAAGGTATGAAGAACGTGAGCTGAGGAGATATTCTAACACTCCTCTCTCAAGATGGACCATCTTGATCTTGGAGAAAGGAACAAAGATGTAGGTAAAACGGTGGAAGAGAATCTGCAGACATCATATCACAAACTCTTTCTGGGGTCCCTTGATGGTATAATGCTTAGACCACCAATATCAGTTACCTGAGTTGACAGGCAATTGCGAGAAGAAGCCAGGAGCATTTTGAAGGCTGAAAATAATCTGCCAGCCTTAATCATTTCATCTTGGTTTTGGATCAAAAGTTTCACATGCTCAATAGTGGCGGCAACTGTTCCAGAAAGTGATGGTGCCTTTACTTTCTAATCCTCAATTCTCCGAAAGAACCTTTGATGGGAACAAAAGTTGTGTAAAGAAAAATACTAGGAGTTCTGCTCAGAATAAGGATCAGAACCTTAAACAATCAATGACAGAATTAGGGGTGGGCGTGGGTTGGGTTTTTACTCAACCCAAACCCAACTCAACATGTTCGGTTTGATATAAAATCAACCCAACCCAATTACGTATTTAAACCCAACCCAACCCAATCAAGTTCAGTCGGGTTGAGTTGGGATGGTCGGTTTAGAGTTCACCTTTTGTCTACGATCCCTAGTGAAGGCATATTGTATTAACTAGGGTAGCATCATTGATCAATATAAGCAATTAAAGCTCGAGTTCCAAAAATTGAACATTGTAATAACCAAAACCAAGCATTGCATTGGCATAAAGATGTCAAAAGAGTTCCACTTGATATTATATACTGTAAGAGACAAGAAATGAATTGTAGAACAAAAGTGGAAGTGAATCAATAAGCTGCTGCCATAACCAAAAGGATTAAAAAGTTGAAGGCTAATGTTAAAAAGAGCAGATTCCTAAATTAAATTTTCTTCCTACTTTTCTTTATCCAGTTCTTCAATTTCAATATCATCCATCCTCTCCAAAGACTTGCCTTCCCCTAGCCTCGTTGTTCTAAAATTTCATCTTTGCTTACCACTTTCTCTTGATCATCCTCAATGGCTTCTCTAACCTTATCATCATCATTACCATTTTGGACTAAACCCAAGTTATGGGAAAAAAAATTCTAATTGATAGTCTAGTAATGTAATGTGAAACAATTTGATGAAGTTAGGAACAAAAACACTAGATGAGACACTGCATATTTTGTCTGCCATAAAGAAAGCAAAAATGATTTAAAATTACCTTCCAGTACCAGGCAAAAGAAGATCTGCTTCCTTGTTATCAATTGAGAATGCGTTCAAAGTGTTTCTTCGAATACGTGTACCAGGTAGAGTGCTGCCTCTCTCTTCCCTATTTAAGGATTTTCTTCTTCAAAGGGAGACCCATTTTCTTTCGATCTCCCACATTTTCTGAAAGAAGACAGTATAAGAAAAGATCCCATGAACATCACATAAGAAAAATTGAAGACTACCTGTGAGGCAGCGATCCTTGACCATGGACAATCAGCGACCGACATGTAATTGTGGTGAGAAAAAAAATAGAGGCGGCTGTGGGAGCGAGAGAAAGAGAGGGAATAAGGTTAGGGTTTGTTTGTCTCGTGAGTTCATCTCTGTCTTTTGAGTTTCGAGTTTTGTAATTGTTTTTTTTTCCCTTTAAATTAAGTGGGGTGAGTCGGGTTAGGTCGGTTCGGGTGAACTCGGTTTTAGTGGAACAACCCGCGACCCTAACCAACCCGACCCACCTTCCTCACCCAAAAACCGAACCCAACAAAAAAAATGAAAAAAACTTACCCAAATCGGTCGGTTCAGGTCGGGCGGGTTGGGCGGTTTTTCGCCCACCCCTAGGCGGAATAGCTAATTGATGAAGACAACTGAGGACATCCTTCGTTCTTGCTGCAAATGCAGGAATTAAAACAGGAGGCTCAGGAATTCAGCTTCTACCTTGGTGATGGAAGGAAGCTTTATCAAAGAAGAAGAAGATAGCTGCTGGAACGGAAGCCATTGCTCTAATACCATATTAAGAAAATAAAATGATAGAACATGCTGTAAATGGTAGGGAAGAATAAGAATATTTCATTCATTCAACTTGAGAAATTACAATGCATACTAGTCTATTTATAGAGAAAAATAGCTAACTAATCTATAAACTAATCACTACATGGAAGTTTCTAGAATTGACGAGTTGGACTAAATTCTAACAAACCAACAACTAATAACAAACAAAAGAAGAAACTAAAAGAAGCTAGAATAAGGAGTGTTGTAAGCTAGCATGAAGAACGTGAGCTAGCTGAGGCATGAAGAACGTGAATTCATTCTGCGAAGAACAATTTTGATTTACAATCCACAACTATCCAATTGTCCAACTTCCAATAAAAATCCACTCAGGGAACAAGAATAGGAGAATTAGAGTTTCTCTTTTCTTATGCTAGGAAAACAATAACTGTATGTTATTTTTCAACTCTAACAACTTATTAATAGAAGTTTAAGTGGGTTGACTCATCACTTAAATTCAATCCGGTCCAACATTTAATTAATCTAATTAATTAAATTTGGTCCATAAATTCATTAATCTAATTAACTAACTTAGTTCACTAATAAACAAACCAATTAATTAATTGTCTAATATTTGTTAATTAATTAACTAATATATTTCATTCTTCTAGTTCTTCTTTTGTGTGTGACCAATTATGTTCCCAATCACGATACCTAACGACGTGAATTATTATTTTAATTCTATCAAAATCAATAAATTAAATTCCCTTTTAGTTTCTAAGTAATTCATAGTCGTCGTTCCAGATTGAGATCTAGTAATGTGTCAGTACAATACATACAACGAAAAATATCACGTGATATGATAAATCAAACTTGTTCATTAATCGTAAATTACAATTCTTTCGTCAATATGATTCGATCAATCATGGATACAGAGGTATGTCAATTTTAATTAACGATCATACATTTTATCTCACTATTAAGTCAATGTAAGTCAAAAACTCTTTTCGATTTATGAGTACAACTTGACTAATGATTTCATTATTAACTTAACTGAATGAAATGTAGATTGTAATCTCTTACTATCTAAGAGTGGCGAATCTTCTATTGATCATTCACAACAATCATATGATTTTTGACATGTCCGAACGATACCATTTTTGTAACTGTTGGCAGAGTAACATCCAACAATACCAAATTATAACTATCCCCATATAAGGCATTATGATGACCTCAAGTCAAATAATCAATTTCATTATCGAATGTTAGAAATTAACCACTAATATTTAAATAGTTATCCATGTGAAATATCTCCAGTGAATCTCCAACGTTATATTCTTATAACAAAACATTCATGTGTTTATTTAAGTGTTACCACACTTTATTTTGTGAGATCAATTACTTACTTCTTAAATAGGAAATGCCATACGTGATGATCTAACAGTAATAACGATATCTATATTTTGTTATTACTGACGACCACGGATTATTTAAGATTAAATCATATATAATTTGTATTTCAGAATCACAATTCCTTGTGACTAAAAATTATCAAAACTTGAATATTAGTTCAATTCAATAATAGATTTGCCACAAAAGAAATACATTAATGTTATATTAAAAGTGTTTATATTCAAAATCAATTGGATTTAGGTCATGATACTTATACAACACCTACACAACACCTACAGGGAATGCATTTGATACACGTAATTCTCCCTTTATTACGGAATCCGGGACCCCTATGTCGTGCCCTCACGTCTCTGGCGTAGCAGGATTATACTAAAGAGGCTTCACCCCCAAATGGAGTTCGGTGGCAATCAAATATGCCATTATGGCAACTAGTAAAAACTCAATTTTCCCATTCAGATTACCGCCACGATAAGCGCTATTACCTCTTTCTTAACACGTTTGACAATCAATGTAAACAGAAAGAACTAGAGACAACACGTAGAATCCATTGGTGACGCAAATTATGTGAAGGTAACACCTTTCGAATATGCTTCTGGACATCTTCGACTAAACTGCGCAATGAATCCTGGATTAGTCTATGACTTGAGTGTCAACGATTACTTGGACTTCCTTTGTGCCATTAGTTACAACCAAACACTGATTTGCAGTTTCACAGGATCAAAGAAGCCTTATAATTGTCCAGAGAAGTATAGTTTACTGAACTTCAACTACCCTTCTATGACAGTGCCAAATCTCTCTGGATCAGTCACAGTGCATAGAAAACTGAAAAATGTTGGCACATCGAGGCACGAACGCAGTCCGATCGTCAACCGGAAGGATTTTCTGTTTCCGTGGAACCCAATCTTGAAGTCTGATAGAATTGGTGAAGAAAGAGCTTCAAGTTGAAGATAAAATCCAAAAAAGATGGAAATGAGGGTTGATATGCGTTTGGGGAATTATTAAGGTCAGATGGCATGCATTATGTCAGGAATCCAATAGCAGTCTCTTGATTGGGCTTAAACCATTAATCTCTAGAATTATACTGTTTATTCTTTTTCTTTTTTTTCTACAATTTAGAATTCTTTATTGGATCAGATTGGTAAAGAAAACGAATGTTGTTTATAACTTTAGTTTATCTATAACTAATAAAAGCTTATTTCAAGAACAGTGTTATTTTGTGTTAAAGTTCCGTTTTCACCCGTTAATAAAAATTGTATTTATTCGGTGTTTTCTTAAGAAAAAAGTCATACATTCCTTGCTTGCATTATTATGATTCGATGAATTTAATTAGAGTGACAAATTTCAAGAAAGTAGGGAACAAGAAATGCGCAAATTTTATGGCCCAAAATTTGAATACACAATCAATATATAAATATAAATACCAATATATAAATATTTATACCCACAAAAAGGGGGATCTAAAGAAAGGCGGAGAAAACTATGCTTGGTAAAAGGCGTGACGGATGGCGTGCATTCTATATTTCCCTGTGTTATTTATTTGTGGATAAAAATGGTTTTATTTCATCATTTTCTCTAGCTAAAACCTGAGGTATCTATGATGTGTGTGTACTTACTGTTTGATTCATTTATGTATGCAGCAATCCTTTGACGTTGTCCGGTTTTCATGTTTTTCGAGATAGAGAAACGATGGAGAGGGAGGACAGAAAGAGAACGAGAGGAGAAGAAGAAGAAAAACAAGAAAACAATAAAGAAAAGAAAGCAGAATTTGAGTGCAGCAAAGAGGGTGGAGTTTTCGATTTTCCTTGGCTGAAAGAGAGTGTGATCTTTAAAGGTGATGAATATTTGGAACTCCAAGATACATTCGGTACATGTTTATATGAAATTCCCAGTATTTTTACAGAAAATCTTGATCAATTTTGTGTAGAAAATTTGTGTGATGAGAATTTCGGTGACGATTACAAGATTGATGAGAATTATTTGTGTACATTTCAAGAACCAGTGGATTGCATTTGGAGCTCGGTGATTGATCAGCCTCTTGATATTGGCTTCAACAGACAGTAGAAACATTTGTATAAAATATTTCATCTTTAGATTTTTGGTAACGTTTAAGTTTTCATGTTCGAATTGTAGTATTTGATTCTTTTGGTGAATGGGTTTCATACATTTAACCATTAGAAATCACGTTTAGTTAGAGTTGTTTGATTAGTAATTTCAACAACAAAGTAAACAAAAAAATTAATTAAAAAAATCATTTAATCTCTACAACCCATCCCTTAACCCGTTTGCTTCCCTCTCCTTCTCGTTCTCCGCACACCTTCTCCTCCTGATAAACTATCGACCCGCTCCTTTTCTTTCGTCAAAACAAATTTCATGGTCCTTCTTTTTCATCATATTACACTTACGATATGTTTTTTGATGGTAGTTTTTATATTTCAGTTTGTATTTATGAATTATTGTTTTCAAATCAAAGAAAAGGTAAGTTAAGAAGATTGATTATGCCCCGTTTTGTTCAACTAAAATTTTTTATGAAAATTTAAGTTAAAGTCAAAAATTAATTTTACCCACACATTTTATAGATATTCACAATCTTTCAACCACACATTCCCTCATTTTTATTAAAATCTGTTGGAAAAAATAAATAAATTGAAAGGCTTACTTTGTCATAAATTTTGAGTGGGACACGTTGTTTAGTTTGGAAGATCAAGATTGATTTGTATTCTCCTCCGTGAGAACATCGAAATAATATATTGACTTTCCAAAAATGATGCTCTAGTGAATGAAAAATTGGAGCTCAAAGTGATGAATTAGAAGAGATTTTGAGCTGGAGGGAAAGTACTTTAAAATTATTTCACATAGTAAAATAGATAAATCCAATTACCACTTTAAATATGATTACACATTATAAGAATCTATCACAGTCGGGTTAATGGTGATTAATGACATAACTCCTGTCTCCTAGCCTTTTAATTCTCCATTACAGCCTATTTGTTTAGTCATCTTCCTCCCTACGTACACACGAAAATTTCTCCTCTGCATAAAATTTTATCTAATGTCTGCATATATAATTTTCACTTTCTTTCAAGATCTTGGTAGTAATAGTGTTCAAATACTAAATCAATTCGTCGGAATATCATCTACAGTATTCAAACTCTACTGATTTTCCGTTATACCCTGAGAAATAGATGCTCGAACTATATAAAAGCACCTACGAGGAGACGAATCTGTTTTAAGTTTGTTAAGCAAAATATTATAGATTAAATAATTTTATATTTTGGCTAACAAAATCTACTAAAAATATTTTTATCTAAATCAAACAGGGTTATATTTACTAGAATTAATAATTAAATTATTATAACATTAATTATCCAAACATATATGCACACATATGTGCACGTAACATAACAAAACTAAGAACAAATATACGTTAAATCCACTCAATATGCTGAACTTCCCATTTGTGAGCATATAAAATTCAGACAAATAACAAAATCATAAATTCTGTGTTAGTCGCAGTACCACGATTTTATGCTTATACGCTTTCTTTCTTAGAAAATTTAAAGCGTCAACACGAATGCAAATTTCATCAAATTTGTGAGGGTTAAAAATTCCGAGAATTTGACCCCTCAAAATTTCAAATTCTGGAGAATCCAAGCAATATGCAACATTTTGCTGTTTTCTTTCCTCATCCAATTTTTAAGAGGGAAAAAAAGCACGATATGTGAATTCCATTTAGCACCTAAACTAAACTGTTAGGGTCCGTTTGATTGCAAAGATAGAAAATTGATGGAAATAAGTCTCCGTTTGATTGGCGGAGTTTTCTGGGGAAGTAGGAAAATATTTTCCACTTTCCACTTTTTTGGCTGTTTGATAGGCGAAATTTTCCACGGAAAATATTTTCCTACTTTTCCTCACACGTGTGCATTTTCCCGGTTTTTGATGAATATGTTTTCCNTTTTTTCAAAATTTTTTTTTAACAATGTGAACAAATTTAGACTCAATAGTAGAAAAAATTATCATTTTAATGGACAAATTTCATAAAAAACGAAGTCAAATGGACACCAAATTTTCAACATTTTCCATGAAAAATTATACAAATCAAACACAATTAATTACACTTCCCAGTAAAACATTTTCTAAGAAAATCAATTCCCTGTAAAACATTTTCTTTCCACCCATTTTCCACCCTTGCAATCAAACGGACCCTAAAATGTTTTACAGAGAATTAAATTGCGTAATTAATTGTGTTTGATTGGTATAATTTTCCACCTGAAAAATGTTGAAAGTTTGGTGTCCGTTTGACTTCGTTTTTTATGAAAATTCTCCATTAAAGTGATAATTTTTTTACCATTGGGTATAGAATTTGTTCCAATTGCAAAAAAAATAATAATAAAAATTTGAAAAAAAAATGAAATTACCATACCAAATACCATTTGTTTGGCTTTGTTTTGCATGAAAATCGTCAATAAAAATGATAATTTTTTTTACCATTGTATCTAGAATTTGTTTACATTGTCAACAATAATAATAATAATAATAATAATAATAATAATAATAATAATAATAATAAAAGACAAGAACCCGGAAAATCATTTCCAACAAAAATAAAAGGAAAACCTTTTTCCCACACTTCCCGGAAATTGGGCGCCTGGGTGGAGGAAAGAGGAAAAAAATTTACCTGAAAAATTTTACTATCAAACAATGCATTTTGTGGAAAATTGAAAAAACTTTCCAACTTCCCTAAAAAATATGTGCTATCAAACATAGCCTTACTGAAATTTACTAGTTCTACTCTAAAATCACCTGACAAGGTGAATAATGCGGAATTAAACTTACCAATTAAAAGCAACATGTCAGTTTTTAATTGTTCTACATGTTTAGTCAATCAATCAAGTTTATCCTGTATTGAATTGCCACAATAATAATTAACGTAATAAATAAAACAAGATTCAATGACGAAGAAAACTCTTAATTAGGTAAAAACTCTACGACCAAACTAGTAGTTTCCACTATAGACAATAAGAACTTACAATATGATCCAATCTAAAAAACTCACTAGACTCGTTGATTTAACTCCTGCAATTTTTAAGATCCGCTGTAACATACTTTACTCACGCTACTTTCGATCTTCTAGAATTGTCTATTTCCTGTGGATCACCAAGAACGCCTTGTTCTTGTACTTTTCCTGTGCTTCTGATCCAACATCCCCTAAACTTCAACAATTTCTGAAAGTTATTGAGAAAGTACATTCCTGATGATATCTAGGAAGTAGGTGTTTTGAATTATATGAATTTGATATTTTTCTCAAACTTGTGGTTAATTGATCTCAAGAATCAAAATGTTAATCTCAATATTTGGATGTGTTCTTAGATCTTGGAATGATAATTATGAAGATGTAAAACAATGATCAACTACCACCAAAACGTAATAAACATTATACATTTATAATAGGAGGTGTTTAGGTAGTATATGATAGATAAAACTCTTGAAAAACGAAAACTAGAGTTTCTCGAAAATCACCGCCATTCGAGCACTATGCTAACGATAGGCAAGGGAGAGGTGAGCGACAGGCTAGCAACAATGATTCTTCTTTGGACGCTTGAGTATCAGGTAGGTAACAAGCTAGCGTAAATTCGACGACTATTTCTCCTTATTCCATACTGGAACCTAAAGATTCCTAATTCATCTATACAACTCTCCAAAAGAGTCATTGAATTTTACATCTCTTTTATTACAATCATATTCTTTTATAATAATCCCTTTATCTAAAAAATTTCCAATACAACATAAATTCTAACAATCTTTCCATTTGACATTCTATGACAAAATTATACTATACAATACAAGTCAAGGATGTAAAAACAAACTAATCTACCCAAAGTGAAACTAATCTCTCCCTTTGACATTCTGTTTCTTGAAATCAATAACTCAAATACCAATTGTAAAAG